CCTGCGTCTACTCTCTCCTCCCAAACTTCTTCTCATCCCTACCTGGTGCTGAGCTCTTGCTGACAGCCCTGACTCCTGCCCTGTCCCCTGTGGGCTCCCTGGGACCAGTCACTGCCAGATGTGCAGACCCTGGCATGGGTGCTCTTCATGCCATGGGTTGGAGAGTGCACCATTTCAACACCAAAAGCATACCTGTTTTTTATCTCCACTGTGGGTGCTGCAATCCCCATTGCTCCATCCTCCCTCCATTACTCTTGTTATTCTCATACTGAGCGTCACCCTTCATCAGCACTGCCATCCTGATGTTATCTTTCCTGTCCAACCCTCCCTGGATGGTGACACCACTCTTCCATCCCTTCCATCTGCACAGATGAAACCTCCATCTCTTCCCAACACCGCAGGTCCAGTGAAGCTATTCTTTGTGATTTCCTCTAATGAATGAAGCTGAGTTGGTTTTCCCTTCCCTGCTCTCTTCCCCCTCCACCTGCAGCACAAAGCTTGGTGCCCGCAGCGCTGCTCTGCAGGGACAGTCCTTGCAGACATCCACATCCCTGTAGATCTGTCTGTCTCAAGACTGTTCCTCTGCATGTCCGTCTTCAGTGCTCATCCGTCTACAGCTCAGCACCTCTCGGCTGCAATCCAGCTCCTCTGGCTTTAGGTATCTGCAGTGCAGGCTGCGAGCCTGGTGTCTGGGTTTCCAGCCCGCACACACAGATCCAGCTGTGCACCTGGGGCAACCTCAGGTGAGGCTCATCTGGCCAGAGACAGTTGGCCTCACTGGAATGTGATGATTTGCACCTTGGCTGCAGGCACACATCCCATCCCTTCTCTTTTTGCTTTCCCATTATCCCTTGACATCAAAAAACCTTTTTTTTTCTCTCCCACCAGCTTGTGCTGGCTGCTCTTTTTCATCAGCAGCTCCAACACAGACCTTCTACTACTGAGACAGCAGCTGGTCCCACCTTGGGGGTGGTTACAAGTTTAGGTCTGAGCTATGGAGCTACAAATGTGCTTAGAAAAGCAAAGCATCACTGAGGCTGAACACAGATCCACCTTGGGACACACTGTTTGCTCATGTAGACCAGATCTACCCTGGTCCATCTTGCACCTCGCTCCCTGAGTGATTGTGAAGGGCTGGAAAAAAATCAAGCAGCCCCTCTCTGGGTCGATCTGCTCCCCATATGTACTCCTCTGCCCTAGGCTCCTGCGTGCTGCGATCCTGCCACTCAAACACTTCTATGGCATCAAGATGCAGGTGCGGGGATCTGAGCGCCTGAACATCAAGGAGCCCTATGTGATAGTTTGCAACCACCAAGCTTCCCTTGACCTCATGGGTATGTGCAAGGGAGAGAGGGGGCTCATCACTGCATGGGCAGCCTTTGGGGTGCTGCAGGGGTGAACCAGGCCCACCCTGGGGTGTCCCAGTGAGGCTGGCACCAGGATTTGTACAGGGCAGTGTGGTAGCCATAGGCCAGAAGAGCTGATGGGACAGGAGCTCAGGGCTATGAGTATGCTGCAGAGAGAGGGTTGGGACAATGGAAGATGATGCCAGGTCACTACAGCCACAGGGCTTGTTGGTTCTGGGTGCCATTGGGCAGGGACAGATCCTTTCCTCTCCCATCCATCCTCCAGGCATGGTGGAGGTCATGCCTGACCACTGTGTGCCCATCGCCAAGAAGGAGCTCATGTACCTGGGCACCGTGGGGTGGGCCTGCTGGCTCAGTGGCATCATCTTCATCGACCGCCACAAAAGAGAAGATGCAATCGATGTCATCTCCCAGACGGCCAGGACCATACGGCGTGAAAACGTGAGGGGGGCTGGCAGCAGGGGGGAGTTGGGGAGCAAACACTGATGGGGCAAGGGGGTGTGGGGAGGACTGACATAGCAGGTCCCAGGGTGCTCTGGTTGGGGTCCATGCTTGTGTCTCTTCCTGTCCTGTGCAGCTCCGAGTGTTGATTTTCCCTGAAGGCACCAGGAACCAGGACAAATCCATGCTGCCCTTCAAGCGCGGGGCTTTCCACTTGGCCGTGCAGGCTCAGGTAAGGCCATCCTCCCCCTCCACTTGCCCTTGATGGAGTGGGGTGGGCGTGAACCCTTGGGCAGCGGGATGGAGGACATTAGGGTCTTTTGGGGTCTGCAGTCGCCAGTGACAGGCACCCTGCTGTGCAGGGCCCAGGTTGGGGACAGGGACCTGCTGAAGCCCAGGGCACGGCAAGAGCTGGAGTCCCACCTGGGGAGGGGGTCTGTGTGGAGGACACCCCTGACCCTCCATCTCCTACAGGTTCCCATTTTCCCCATGGTGATCTCCCCATACCGGGACTTCTTCAGCTCCAAGGATAAGAAATTCACCTCTGGTAAGTAATGGACAAGAAGCCCCATTGCTGGAAGGCAGGGCTGGCGGTGGGGATGAGGCACGTGGGGCTTGGAGGTCTCTTTGTGGGACACTGAAGTGTGGGGCGGCAGCTGGTGGTGGAGGATGCTGGTCAGAAGACCTGGTTCCTGGTGCGTTCATCTAACAGCATCCCCGGCCTCTCCCTTCTCTCTCCAGGGACATGCACCATCCGAATCCTCCCCAAGGTAGAAACCCAGGGCCTGAGCCCAAAGGATGTCCCCAAACTGACAGAGACTGTCCGCCAGGCCATGGCTGATGCCCTTGCCGAGATGTCTGCAAATCACTGTGGGGACCAGCGCGCTGAGCAGCCTCTGCTCCCATGCTGCATTGGGGCTGGTGCTGGCAGGGGGACGGGCAGCCCGCAGTGTGAGGAGGACACAACCGGGATCAATAATTAGGCAGAGGGACCAAGCCCCTCGCTCCTCGGGGACGTAAGAGAGGTGGCACAGCCAGAGGCTGGGCCATGCTGTCCCCTTGTCCCCTGCGGATGTGTCCACCAGATCTGCCACCACCTGGCAGCCTGCGAGAGCAGGACGGTGCCCTGGTGCAAGGGCAAGCAGAGCAGCCCAGGATGGGGTCCAGGCAGCACCCCAAAAACAGTTCAAGGTGCCCCCAGAAACTCCTGGCTATGACTGTGCATCCCCTCCCCAGGGCATTGCCTGTCTACCCCAAATCTGGTGCTGTGTCTGGCCCCGGGTAGCAAGCCCCGTCTGCCTGGTTGGCTCCTGCCTGCACCCGGGGTAGCGGGCAGAGATGTGCCAGGCAGGGCTGGGGGTTCCCCGCACCATTTTCCACCCCTGACGGTGTGACTCGCAGTGGGGTTCACCCATGGGCTTGCTGGGTTGCTTTTTCCAGAGGCTCCTGCAAGCTGGCAATGCTGTTCAGATGCAGCAGCTCTGGGGACGGGTCCAGACTGCAGTGTGTGGCTTGGAGGGGGGCAGGAGGTCCAGGGGATATTGCCACGTGGGAAGAGCATCCTTGATGATCAACTATGAGACAAGGGTGCAAGATTAAACAGTCCATACCTGGTGGTGTGTGTGCACGGTGTCCTGCCTGCGCCTCGGGGAGCGTGGGGAGGGGGATCCGTGCCCTTATGGCCACGCTAGGGAGCATCTCTATGGACACCATAGCTTCTCCATGGGGTGCAGCGCTGGATGGTGTGAGGACCATGTGGCAGGGTGAGAGTTACAGTGGGACAAGCAGTAACTGCACAGGAAGAGCATCCATTAAAAGGCCCAGACCCTCAGAGGGCAGAGGTGCCTGGGTTATGCCCACCTAGAGCAGGAGGGACCTCCCCATGGCCTCTGGACCACGGCACAACCAGACCCATCCACGAGCTACCATCTCTCCTGGCCTGTTCCCTGCAACCAGGCAGGGTTTTGGGCACCTGCTGGCTCCTTCCCAGCCGAGCAGCGCCTGTCCCAGGCACCCCAGGGCAGGGAGAAACTCAGTGCATGGGTGTCCCCAGTGCTGGGAGCAGGATGGGCAGGCTTCACCTCCCATTTTCAAATAAGATGTGCAAACCATGGCCAAACAAGGGCACAGCGCTCCAGCTTGGCAGCGTTCCCACTCTTGGGGAGCGGCTGGCTCATTATGGGGGAAATTCTGCAAAGCTGTGGCAATCATCTGCCCAGACAGATACCACTAGGCAAAAATATTAGCAGCAGAAAAGAGGTTTCCCATGAGCAACAACTCACCAGATCAGGAACCATCACGTGCAGATGGTCAAGGGCAGCATGCACATGAAGGCTCTCATTTCCCAGAAAGCTCCTTTATTCCCTTCCTCCCTGCCAGCGCTCCCTACATGTGGCTTAGTCTGCCAGCTCTGAGCTGGCTCGGCGGTCTCACCACCGTGGGTGTGGTTTGGCTGCCCAGGGCCTTGAACCCAGCAAAACTTGGGTCTGGTGGTTAAACATTGTCCTAGCTGGATGGCTGGGTCCCAGCCAGAGACCTTGCTGGCTTTTGCTTGCTGCCAGCGGAGAGGAAAAGCTTGAGGAGGGGAAGAAATCTCAGTACGGGGACTCTGGGACCACCTTGCTTCCACTTGGCCTCCAAGCATGGGGTCTGCAGCCGCCCTGCCCTGCCTGCTGCTTTGCATCCTATACCTCACAGCTGGAGCATCTGCAAAGCCGTAAGCCTTCTCTGCATCTGCCTGTCCCTGCCTGGTGGGATGGTGGTTGGGCTCAGTGGTGTGACAATCCTTGCCGTGACTGTGGTCGCTGGTCGGGGTGGAAATGCTTGGAGTGGTGGTTGTCCCTATAGGGGACTTTGCACCTGGGGTTGGTGTCTCCAGGCTGCTTTGGTGTAGGTGCAGCCTCACACAAAAGCCAGTGGGTGAGCAGTGCCTTTCCCCCCTCTGCAGATCGACCCCTCAGCTCTTTCCAAAGGTGTTTAGGCAAAGGGGGCTCTTCTCTGGTCTGTGCACTGGCCAGCCTCCCTGGGTAGATGAGGGGAAGGCTGGGTGGCATAGCCCTGCAGAGAGCATCCAGGGCTGGAAAAACCCAAATGCCCTCTGCCTTGAGAGTCTGGACTGGAGGGAAGCACTGGGATTTGGTGGGGGGTCCCTGCTCTCCTCCACTACCCAGGTGTCCCCTCCCCAGGCACTACATGGTGCTCTTCCCCTCCGTGCTCTACTACCCATACACGGGCAAAGTGCACATCCACCTCATGGACCTGGACGAGCCCGTGCGGGTGACCCTCCACCTGGCGAGCAGCCACGGCATCCCCAATGTCACCCTGGAGGAGCAGGGCAGCGATATCCTCCAGCTGAACTGGCCCCGCTTCTCCAATGTGAGTCACAGCCCCGCGACAGGGCTGAGGACCTCGGGAAGGGTTATCCACCCCCTACCCACTGCCAGAGCCGGGCTGGGGGAACTGGGAGGGGACATGGGGTCCATCCTGGATGGGCAATGAATGAGGTGAAGAGTGAAGGGACACGGGGCATGTATGAAGACCTTGTGGGCTGTACCTGTGTCATCTACCCATGCACACCAGTTCCCTGGTGCCTTCATGGGGCAACGGGGGGGTGACGATGGGAGACAGGTATGATGTCTCACCGGCATCCAACATAAAGGCTTTGCAACCCTATCTGCTATGTCCCTCGGGGCAGATTTCTACCCCTCCTGTGGGGATCTACGAGATTGCGCATCTTCACGTCTCCATCCAGGGAGGTTCCCTGCAGGTCTCTGAGCAGAAGAAAGTACTGGTGAAAACCCTGGAGCTGGGGACCTTGGTGCAGACAGACAAGGGTGTCTACAAGCCTGGACAAACTGGTGAGGGGAAGGAGCTGCTGGAAGAGCTTGCACGGTCTTGGGATGGGATCTCCAGGTTTGGGTCCCAGGCCCTAGCACTCACTCCTGCTCCTGTCTTTGCTCTCTCCAGTGAAGTTTCGAATTGTCCGTGTGGATCAAAACCTCATTCCCAGCAACAGGGAGGTGAGACAGGGTCGGGGTGCGGGGGGGCACGGAGGCAATAGGATCCCCATGCACCCAAGAGGATCAGTCTCGGCAGCAGTGGCACAGCATCCAGTGTCCCCATGAACATGGAGGAGACGGGTGTGGGGAGGGAATCCCCCAAACACTGAAGGGATGTGGGATGTGAGAAGTGCTCTTCCCAGTGCTCCCAGCCTGAGTGCCCAGGGTACAGCCCCTTGCTTTTGGCACTGGCACAGGAGATTAATTATTCCCTTTACAGCATCCCTTTGCCTGGCTTCTCTCGTGTGTAGCTTTTATGCACCATTATAACGCCCGCTGGTTTTAGACTCCTGGTGTTATGTGGTGCTGGCAGGCCCAATTGCACAGCTGATGCTGTTTGCACAACGCAGCCTCGCTGTTCGCTTCCCGCTGCGTGGAAAAGGCAGTGCAACGGCTGTGGATGTGGCAGTGGGAGCCGGTCAACAACAGTGGCTCCGAGCCCTGCCGAGCCCCCAGCCCAGCAACCAGCTCTGTAGGGGCAGAGCCAGATCCCACAGGCTCAGCCCCCAGCTCAGCTACAAGCTCAGCTCTCTGTGCTTTGATCATGCTAAATGCTGCTTCTCTCTTTGCAGCTTCCCTTGGTGGCCGTGCAGGTGAGTTGTCACCCTGTGCCAGCCTGTCAGCTCCCTCAGAGGAGCAAAGCACGTGTGTGATCCTGGGGACAAGGAGCAGGGACAGGGACATCCCCACTGCAGGTGCTGAGAGAAGTTACAAGGAGGTGGGAGAAGAGCTTGGGTTCCTCATCTGCATTTCCAGCCCACTCAGGGTCAGCTTGCTGTCTGCCTGCAAGACAGGGAGTCCTCTGGGGAGATGCTGCTAAGGGACAGGTTACACGGATGAAGATGGCAATGGCTATTGCCACAGAGACTTTGACCCAAACTGGAGAACCCCCTGAGCTCCCAGTCTAGGCTGGAGCATCCCCCTGCCAGCTCTGGCTGCTGTAGCCAGGCTGGAGCTCAGCTAACACAGCCCCTGGGGGGAAATTTTCCTTCTGGAGAGGTGATGCCCTCAGGGCTGCTCTGAGTGTGATGGCAGGGCAAGACCTCTGCTTCTTGCAAGGATACACAGGGTGACTTTAGTCCTTGAGGTTGTCAACCCAGCGCCACCACCACGCACCCCATATTCAGCCCCCATGAGTGAGGGCTGATGCCGTGTGTCCCTGTGTGCAGGATCCCAGTGGGAACTGCGTGGCGGAGTGGCGGGAGGTGAGCCCGCGGCAGGGCATCGTGGACCTGTCCTTCCCACTGGCTGCAGAGGTGGCCCTGGGCACGTACACCATCGAGGTGGAGGGGAAGAGACACTCCTTCAGCGTGGAGGAATATGGTGTGTGGAGACGAAGGCTGGGCTTCCCACGGGGTGTTTGGGAGCCATCGCATGGGATGGCAAGAAACTCCCGAAGGAAGAAATGGGCACAATCCCATTCCCTGCTGATCTGCCCCCAGGGCTGTCCCACTTTGAAGTGCTGATCTGGCTGCCCCACATCGTGACGGTGAAGGACAAGAAGATCCCGCTGGATGTCTGTGGGCGGTGAGTCGGACAGCAGCCCCAGCAGCAAGGCTGGCTGCTCCTGGGGTGATGCTCCCCCAGCAGCCTCCCCATCTGCTCTCCTTCTTGCTCCCTCCTGACAGGTACCCGTCCGGGAAAACTTTCCGGGGAAGGGCTGAGGCCAGGCTGTGCCAATTCCACAGATCTATTGTTTTCCCAAAGGGATCTACGAGGATCTGTGCTGAGTTTAGGGGCCAGGTGAGGGCAGCAGGAGAGGGAGAAGGCACGTGAGTGGTGGTCCTGGAAATGTTTCCTCATCTTGGGATGCTTGGGCTGATGATGGGTGGATGCATTATTCGGGCATTGCCAGGTGATCCAACTCTCATGTGAAAGTGCTGCAAACCCAGAGTCATCCCAAAGAGGGCAGCGGAACCGAGCAGGGACTCTTGGGGTGGTCCTCGGGCCAGGATGGGCAGGAATGGGACAGCCAGCTGCATGGCAGGGAGTGGTACCAGCCCTGGGGGGGCAAATTTGCAGGATGCAAGGGTTTCAGGACAGGATGGAGGGAGGCGGCAGCAGTGGGGTGAGTGGCAGCTGGGAGCCCAAGGATGACAGCAGGTGACACTCAAGGGCTCAGCCACAGGGCTGCTGCTAACACGGGTAACTCTCCCCTTCAGACAGGGAGGAACGGCTGCTTCTCCACCGAGGTGCTGGTGGCTTCCTTCAACCTGACCGGCTTCCACTACAGGAGTCAGCTCTATGCCAACGCATCGCTGCTGGAGGAGGGGACCGGTGAGCACAGCCATGCCGACAGCCATCTGGTGATGTCCTGGGGTGGTGGCACCTGGAGGACATGGCACAACTGCTCTGCTCGGGTGTCCCCAGGGTCTCTGTCCTTCCCATCCACAAGCATCAGCCGCTCTGTGCCCTTGCTTTGGTGTCATTTTTCCTCTACTCCTGACTGCTGGAGCAATCCCTTAGGTCCTGAAGGCTGATCAGGACTTTCTTCCCCTTACAACATCCCACCCCCAGCTATTCCTCCATCGTCCACCTCTCCTTCCCCACGCTCTGCCTCCCTGAGACTAGTTAGTGTGCTTGATTAGTGCCTGGAGAACTATCAGGGTAATTATTTTTCTTATCGTGTCTTTCTGACGTTGAATCTAGTTATAAACAGTCGCTATCTGCCAGGGAGGGCTCGTTAGACGCATCCTTAGGGTCAAGTAAAAAGCCCAATTTCAGCACAGTGCAGCTACGAGTGGCCTCTTCTATTTCGTTGCAGCCATTAAGAGGGGCATTTTGGGGTAAAGCTTGGTATTTCGATAGCACACAGAACTAGGCTGAGCGTAGTCCTGCTCACGCTACAGCCCCTGTCACACCTGAGGACCATGTTTTGCATTTGTTGCCCAATGAGTATGGTTTTGCACGGTGCAAACTTGCCCCTAACCACTGCCTGCATGAGGACAGCTTTGTTTCATATGGCCGCTTGCAAAGACAGCAGCAGGGAGCAAACATGTAACGCTGCGTGCTTGAGACTCTCTGACCCATCTTTCCTGGGGGGAAACATCAGGACAAATTGCTGAGTGCCTCTCTCATCTCCCCCTTCTCTCCACAGGGATCTGGCATACAGCGACCAAGAGCTCTATGATTGTGTATGATACAGCCACAATCACCTTTGAAAACACCGATAAATTCTACAAGCCTGGGATTCCCTGCACTGGGACGGTAATGGGGGAGTCCCTGCACTCTGCAGGGCTCTCCTGCACCCTGCTGCACCCAATCCCACTCCCTCTGACCCCCAACCCTGCTCCCTCACCCTGCCCTCTGCCCCACGGCTGCAGCCCAGCCCGGGGCATCTCCCCTCCCCTCCTGGTGCAGGTGCTGCTGAAGGGAGCCAACGGCTCTGCCCTGAAGGAGAAGGAGTTCCTGCTTGTCATTAAGGGGAGAGAAGAAATGCAAAGGAAAACCCTGCTCACGGATGGATCGGGGAGAGCTTCCTTCGAGCTGGACACCTCTGGTTGGAATTACAAGGTCACCCTGCATGTAAGTGACCTGTGTCCCACACCCCTCAGGCACCCTGGATTCAGTGAAGAACACAGGTTTTCTTACGCAAAATCTTCCAGCCTCCCCTTGACCCCATTTGGTCTTTTTGCACCCACAGCATCCTATAGTAAAGTGTTTATTAGCCCTGTTTAATAGCTTACTGCCTGTTGGACCCTAGAGACCCCAGCACCCTTCCTGCTCCTCTGCTCTGGGAAAAGGGGCTACTCTCACTTTTGATGCTTTCTGCAAGTTCTTCCTCTAATTCCTTCTCTCTGCCATACTGTTTTCATATTTCATTGCCGAATTTTGGGTTCCTTTCTACCTTCACCATCTGGGCACAAGATGAGATAGTTATGGGATGCTGTTTCAGTTCCTACCATCTGCCCACATGTGCTGCTTAGCCATGCCTGCCTCCTCTTGCCATCTGCTGGCTACCCCTTTGAGTGTCCTTTGGACAAGCCCCGTGATGGCACGCAGCTCTATTTTTTGGGTGCTGAGCGCAGCTGGATTGCATTTCTTGGCACGCTCCTGTGGGGATGTCACAGCAAAGCACTTGGCAGTTGCAGCTGCAGAGCGGCTTTCCACCCCTACCATGCTCTGCTGCTGAGCTGATCTTTGCCATTGAGAGCCTCGATTTCCACCCCTCAGGGTGAGCTCAAGGATGACCCTCCAGCCTCAGGGCGTGAAGGCAAGGAGTATCTCAACTACAGAACTGTCATTCGCTACCTGTATCCCTACTCTTTGGACAGCAAGAGTTTCCTGAAGATCCACAGGGTGGAAAAGAAGCTGCCCTGCGGCCAGCCCCAGCAGCTCAGAGTGGATTACATGTTTGATGAGAAGACTGTGGGGATTGATCTGCAGAGCCTGGATGTGGTCTTCCTGGTGAGCCTCCACCTGGGGAGAGATGGGAGACTGCACGAAGGGCAGAGCTCAGGGGAGGAGAATGAGGCTGTCCAGGGTGTGGGGTTAAGCCTTCCCCTCCAGCAGAAGCCATTTCCAGCCAGCTTTGGCAGTTACTCTTGGGTTCAGGACTCAGGGATGGACCCTGGAGCTGTCAGGTCTTGGGGCACCATTTCCATCCCTCCTGCAGGATGCGGCTTTAATAGTCTCTCTCTGAGCATCCTCCATGGCCTCCCCTCATCTGCTTGTGCCGGTTCCCTGCTCAGCATTGGTTTTGTTGTTCCCATCTCCTCCCCTGTAGGTTCTGGCCAAGGGGACCATTGCCACCGTCCTCAGGAAAGAGCTGCCTGCAGAGGCTGGTAGGTCCTGAGGCACAGACAGGCTGTGCAGGGCTCTGCTTTCTGTTCCTGGTCCTCATCTCCCCTCCTTTCCCATGGCTCAGGGCTGAGAGGGTCCTTCTCCCTGGAGCTGCCTGTTGGCCCCGAGCTGGCGCCCACAGCCAAGGTGCTGGGCTACGTGGTGCTGCCCGACAGTGAGATGGTGGTTGACAGCACCGAGCTCAAGGTGGCCAAGTGCTTCCCCAACAAGGTGAGCTAAGGCTGCCAGACTTGGGGGAGTTGCTGCTGGGCTCGGTGGGGAGATGTGAGCACTGAGCCTCACTCTTCAGCAAAGCCTTTCCTCATCCCCTGCAACTGGATGGTCCCAGACTCTCCTTTCAGGGAGGGTTTTCCTTCCTCTCCCATTCCTGTTGCTGCTGCAAACCATCTCCTGGCTTTGATCACAGTCCTCGCTCTTCATCCTTCGCTGGCGTTTGGGGTCAGGCTGGGGCACAGAGGTCCTTCCTGGGACCAGCTCCCCACTCCCCTAACCCAAAGGCTTCCCCTCTCTCCAGGTGAATCTGTCCTTCTCGGAGCAGAGGGCTCTGGTGGGCTCGTGGCTCCGCCTGAAGGTGCAGGCTGCCCCGGGGTCACTGTGCGCCGTCTATGCCATGGATCAACGCACACGGTCCTCCGGTCCCAAGGGCAAGCTCAACCCCAGAATGGTGAGTCTGGAGTAACCTTAGTGCTGGGCTGGTCCTGGGCTGGACTGGACTCACTGCTGGGGCGTGAGGACAGCAGTTTCTTTCCGCTGTCACTCATTTTAGGGGAGGATGGTGGGGACCTTGGGGGAGCTGCCTCTGCAGGATGAATGCTGGGGGTCTGGGAGCCCGCAGTGAGCCCCTGCCACCACCCACGGACTTCGAGGCTTTGCAGGGGAGATTGTGCTTTGCTGACCGGGGGCACTGAGCTACAGAATTGCTCTGAGGTGTCTCCTGGGGTGGAAATCTTGAAAACAGGGTGCACGTGGTGGGAAGCATCCCCTGCTCTTGGGGAGAAGAGGGATGGGGCAGTGACAGGCCTCAGCGGAGGGGCTGGGACTGGCGGCAGGGCAGCATCACTGCGATGACCAGGGAGGTGCAGAAGCTATGGGGCGATGCCAGGGGCAAAAGGGGTTGGAGCTTGGCCAGGAGCATTTAATGTCTTTCTCACCCAAAGTTCATGTGTTCAGTTTAGGTCTATAACTTACTCCCAACGTTTTCTGAAGACAGTTATCTTTTTGAAGAACCTGATTCACCTCACTGTTGGCCAGATGGAATCACACACATCATGGCAGCCCTTCCACCCATTAACTGTTTTGATGTGCCAGGGAATAGCTGGCGAGATTGCCACCGCAGGCTGTGGCGCAGGGAGGCACCAGTGTCCAACATCCAGACAGGCTCCTACAGCCTGGTTAAGGTATGAGCCCTCCAGCCCTACCTCACACTCCTCTTCTACCTAGGAAGATTACTCAGAGTGCTGGGGGCACCCGGTCCCTCACCCAGCCCACATCTGCGCTCATGAACCACGCTCTTACATCACCCAAATAATGCGCCCTGCCCCTTGCTTCACCAGCCGGGGACAGACATGTGAAATGCATCTGTCAGTCCAGGCACAGCGGCATTTCACAGGGACGGGGCTAAGCTCTGCTCTTCCCATCACAAATCTGGGCTTGAAGTAAACAGCATAGATTAGCCTGGCATTCCCCTGCTTTTCTGGGGGTGCGTGTTTCCCACTGGCAGCAAACTCAGGGGTCGGGGCTGTTTGGGAATGGAGCGGGTAGAGCAGATCCACCAGACCTTTCCCAACTGCCCCTGGTGCAGCAGCTTCCCCTGGCACAGGTATTCCTCTCCTGCACTCCCGTTGCAGCATGGCGGGGGGGGTCCTGATCTTTGGGAGCTCTGTTCCGGCATGGAGCTTTAAGTGGATGTCAATTCCGTGCTTCAGAGAGGGATGGAAAGGCGTTTCGGTATCTCTGGGCTTCAGCGTGGTGCTATTCTCTCTCATGTGTCATGTTTCAGGATGCCGGTTTGAAAACTGTCACCAACGCTCAGCTGGGCTGTGCATCAAGCATGTACTTCCAAAGCTACCAAAGCCCTTTATACCCCCAAGGCGAGTGGAGAGAATCTGTAACAGCCTCCATGCTGGCTGCAGAAGGACAGGTGGGGACACCCGACATCTTTCCATCCTTTCTGGCAGCACATTCAAGTCGTACCTCTGTTTGCAGGAGCAAGACTGGAGGATGAGCAGGCGGGTGTCATGCAGCACACAGGGATGCAGACGGATTTCTTGGGGACATGGCTGTGGGAGCTGGTCCCTGTGGGGTGAGTGAGGAGCCCCAGCAGACCTCAAGCCAGGAGACTGCCCTTATTCCATCAGCTTCACCTCTGGGTGCAGCGCCCAGACCTCCGGTTCACTGTCCGTGTATCCAGGAGTGACACTGAGACATATCCAGCCCCTTCCCTTGAACCTCAGCACCAACCCTGGGAGAGACCGGAGCAGTCTGTCCTGTAGGCAGGGGATGCTGTAAGAGATAAGAGCACTGATGGTACCTCTGCCCATCTCCAAGCGTGTGATGGCCACCAGTGGTACCCAGGACCTAGAGGAAGGAGGTTGGCATGCTCCTTATGCTGGCTCTGCCCATCAGACCCAGCCTGCAAGGTCCATCCATCTTCTGCCGCCCTGCAGGGAGGGGGGCTCTGCGGAGGTGACGGTGACGGTGCCTGATGCCATCACTGAGTGGGAAGCCGGGATGTTCTGCACAGCCCCGTTGGGCTTGGGGCTGGCTCCTGCCACCACCCTCACGGCCTTCAAGCCCTTCTTCATGGAGCTGGCACTGCCCTACGCCCCGGTCCGCCATGAGGCATTCACCCTCGTGGCCACCGTCTTCAACTACTTGCGGCAGTGCCTGCAGGTGAGCGGGGAGGGGGGGGGGGCTTGGGGGGGAGCCCTGGGTCTGGTGTCCGGTGGGGGCTGATGGAGCCGTGGCCATGGTCTGGCAGGTTCAGGTGACACTGGTGGAGTCAGCAGAGCTGGAGGTGTTGGCAAGCGTGGACGGGGCGTATGGTGGTTGCATCTGTGCAGATGAAGAGAGGACCTTCCGATGGGCTGTGCGAGTCACCAGCCTGGGTACGGAGGGGACAGCAAAGGGCTGGGGTGGGGGAGGAGAGCCCAGCAGTGAGACTCCTTGCAAAACTCCTCTTTGTCACTGCTTTTCTGATCCTTTCCTCCCTCTCCCAGCTCCCTCTCCCCTCCCCTCTCTCCCCTTTCCCTTCTCCACTCTCCAGCCTCTTCCCTCCATTTCCCGGTCCCATTGCACCCGTTGTTGCACCCATTGCACCCTCCTGGTTCCCCGGCTCCCTGGGATGGCTCTGAGATGGATCCAGGCCCTGAGGCAGTGTCACAGCCATGCCCCCATCTGCCTCTGCAGGGAAGGTGAACATAACTGTCATCGCCAAGGCCCTGCACTCAGAGAAGCTCTGTGGCACCGAGATGCCTGTGGTGCCAGCCCAGGGGCACGTGGACACCGAGACAAAACTCCTGACAGTGCAGGTGAGCAGAGTGAGGTGGTGGGCTTGCACCATCCTTTTGCCGGGAGCAGAGCTGCACCCAAAGCACTCGACCCCGGAGCAGAGCAGAGCATCTCCCCATCCCTCGGCCAGGCTGGATGGTGCCTGAGGGCGCTGCAAGGTGCAGGAAGAGCACCAGCACCCAAAGCAAGGAGAGGGTCTGTGCCCATGCTTAGGTACCATCAGTGGAATGGTGCCTCCCCTTCCCTTTTGGGGTGAGATTGGTAGATTTGAGGCCGCTGGCTGTGTGACGTTCAGTTGGCTCCCCTCATCACCCCATGCATGGGGCTGCTCCAAGGACAGCCTGGCTTGGCCCGGGTGGCCCTGAGCTCTCCTGGCTCATCAGAGCCGATGGGCTGCTGGTGGGGATGGGTTCCAGGCAGGGCATTTGTCAGAAACAGGGAGGCATTTCTGGGACAGAGAAGGGCAGGCTGACTCTGATCCTGGTCTCATACATGCTGTATTCCTGGTTTTAAAGCCTCCAAGACCGATGTGAAGGAAAATTGCAGCTGTCTGGCTGTCCCTCTGCTCCCGACCCCATCGTACCCCACCAGAAAGCCACGGTCTCGAGGCCTGGCAGTCTTTTCCCATCCCTTCGTCCCCTTTGCCTGACCTGGCAGAAGCCTGGAGCAACATGGTTGAGACGAGGACTCCGAAACCCAGCCCTGCTCCCCAGCAGCCCTGCCATCCTGAGGGGGTCGGGGGCTGCCCAGGGAGCAGCCGCTTTGCTGCCCACCGCGGAGTCGTGGTTGCCCTTGAGCTGATGCCAGTGCAATCCCTTGGACAGGAGACCAGAGCAAGTGAGCTGACCCTGGGCTGACAAAAAGCCTTGGGAGGTCAGTGCAAGCCTGATGGCTGGGCACGGAGAGGATGCTCAAGGCTGCCCTGAGTGCAGCCCTGTCCCTGTCCCTGCTCAGCCAGGCTGAAAAATGAAGAAAAATGCAAGTGGGATAAGGGAAGTGGAAGCAGCAAAACGTTTTTCTTGCAAGAAAGCTCCCTTTCTTCAGGCTCTTTCCCACCATCCCTGACCAAAGCCAGCCCTGTGTCCCAAAACACACTTTGTGTTAGGGGCTCAGCACTCCTGTCCACCTTAATGATGTGTAAGAGGGGACGTACCTTCACTTTGCTTTGCTGAATAAAAAGCTGAGACCAAACCAGAGACAGCATTCATTGCACAGGCAACAAGGCAGCAGAAGAAACAGCAGAACGTGGGGCCAGTGGTGCCTGGTCAGGAGAGGCTGGGGGACAGCACACTCTGGCTCCTGCTCCGAAGTCAACAGCAGCATCGAATGCCAAATCCTCCGGGCAATATTTCCGCTCAGCAGCCCCCCAGGCACCGACTGGAGAGGCAAAGGCCCGCCCTGCTCCCGAATCGATCTCCCCTTGGCCACACTGCTCATGGCCCCCACTGCATCCCGCCCCGTGCTCTGAAGGGTCCGATGGCCCTGAGCTCCTTGTCATGTTGAACTGTCACCAGGATGCCTGTCAGGGCACTGACCCATGCCCACATCCCAGGGTGGCAGGATGGGCTCGGAGCCATGTTCCCACCTCCTGTCCACGGGGGTGGTGGGGACCAGCCTCCTTCAGCCACTGACGTGGTGTGGGGCTGCTCCCGAAGGGCAGGGAGGTGAGCGCAGGGCTGGATCCAGCAATACTCGAGCAGGGCAGGCATGGGGACAGCAGCCATGGTCATCCGAGAGCCCATGAGAAAGAGGGCACGCATTGCTTCCCTCAGCGCTGCCTCTGCCTCTCCCCATGTCCCCAAAGGGAAGGGGACTGCAAAATCCTGGAGCAGGGGATGCACTCAGGACACCGTGTGGCTGTCGTGGAGCTGCCTCAACTTTCCTAAATTCCCACCAGGACAGAAAGAGGCAGCTCAGCCCAGGCCCTGGCTGGAGTCCGGCTCCCAGGCGTGGTGCACAGAGGAATGAGAGCGGGTGGAGCTGGCACAACAGCCCAACACCGTCCTGCTCCTGTGCCCATAACTGATTTGATGGAATTGGAAGAAACTGGGCAAAAAGACAGCCTGAGACGTGCTATGAGCCCAAACAGCCACTGTTTGGCTAAATTTGAAATACTTGGAAACAAGCCCTTCTGAGAAATTGCCACCAACTCACAGACTGTTCTCATGATGTGCTGCCTACTTTAATGTGGGAAACTCGTTCCCGCTCCCTCCTGCCATCATTTCCCAGCAAACCAGTGTGTAGGTGGGTCCTGCCCCCTGATTTTGAATCTCTATAGCCTATGGGAACCTCTCCTCAAATTGCAAAAATCTGTCAGAGCCTTGAACCCAGGAGGCTGTGGGCAGATGGTAAACATTGCCTTGGCTATATCTGCAGGTCCACGCTGGATCCCTCTGCCAACCCTTGCTTGCTCGCTCGCTGGATGGAAAGCAAAGATCTCATTTCAGAGCCTGCAGCAGAGCAGACGCAGGGCTACAGCAATCCAACACCTGGAGAAGGAGCCTCCCCGATATCTGCTTGCAGCTGGAGACATGAGATCCCCAGCTGCCCTGCCCGTCCTGCTGCTCCTCATCCTGCACCTCACAGCTGGGGCATCTGCAGCTCTGTAAGCCCTCTCTCTGTCTGTCTGTCCGTGCCTGGTGGGAGGGCATTTAACTTGGCTCCTCGGCAGTGCCTAGTGGGAGCTAATCCTTCCCGTGCATGTGATTGCTGGCCATGGGGGAAATGTTGTCCCTGCCCATGAGCATCGAGGTCTTGGCACCCAGGGGCTGCTGGGGCTGGTGGCTCTGGGATGGTTTGTTGTAGGTGCTGCCTCACTTGCAGCTGATGTGTGAACAGAGCCTTTGCTTTGCTGAGCTGAGGAGTCAGGGGGAGCCCAGAAGCAGAGTGGGGAGGCTGCAGGAACTGGTCCTGCACTCCAGTACAGGTTTCTGTGCACCCAGGAGCTCTTCAAGACCTCCGTTGGGTCTGTACCAGGATGTGCCTCATCCCCACGCCTCTCATGTCAGCACTTCTCCTTGCCAGGAGTTATGTGGTCACATCCCCAGCTGTGATGTACCACCCACACACAGTGATGCTGTGGGTCCATCTCAGTGGCCTCCACGAGCCTGTCCAGGTGACCGTCCAGCTGCAGAAAGCAGATGGGACCCATAACATCACTCTGCTGGAGAGGAAGGTCCAGGAGCCTCATCTGTACCTGAACATCACCTTCCCTGTGAGTGTCACCCCACACACAACTGTAAGCATGGAGGGGGATGCCCTGGACACCCCGCTGCCTCCAGGCAGAGCAGTTCCCACCAGCTCCCCTGAGCGTGAGGCTGTGGTCCCCTGTGGGGCTGGGAGCAGGCGTGACTTCCCCATCTTTTGGTAGAGTCTCATCCCCAATGCAGGCAAAATGACTCTAGGCTCAGCCCAGTTATTCGGTGGCTGAAATAATCCCTCAGTAGCAGACCTGCAGACTAGGGCAGGGTGTCAGGGGGACATTTCTTCCCAGCCCCTGGCTTGGGGAAGGTGTCCCTGTGGGTGAAGAATGCTCTGGGTCACTCGGAGTGAGCAGAGCATATCCATGGCATATCCCTTGTCCTTACCCAGTGCCTGGTGTTTCCCCTGGCAGGCTCCAGCCCCCACCACAGGGAAGGAGGAAATCGTAGACCTGCACATCTCAATCCAGGGAGAGTCCCTGGATGTCTTCAAGAAGAAAAAGGTGATGCTGAGAGCCCTGGAGCCTGGGATCTTCATACAGACAGACAAGGCTGTCTACAAGCCTGGACAGGAAGGTGAGGGGGGCAGGATGGACCACGCTGCTCTGGGCTGAAGGACCTGGTGGGAGAAGGGTGCAGGAGGTTCAGCCTTGCTCCTACGCTGCATGGAAACAGGAGGGCTCATCCTGGGATGCACTGGGACCCCCAGCACTGGACCAGGGCAATGCCAGGACACGCTGGCAGTGCTGGAGGCTGTGGTGCTTGGGGGGCAGTGCCCCACTGCAGGGCTCAGGGTGGATTTCCATCCACCTTCCCCATGGGGAACCCCCCTCCCTGCGGATGCACTCATCCCTGCATTCCCGTTTGCTCTTTCCAGTGAAGTTTCGAATTGTCTCTTTGGATAAAGACTTCACTCCCAGCAGTAAGAAGGTGAGAGCAGGGCTGGGGAAGAGGGGAGGCAACAGGGCTCCTCTGCACTGCCCTCCTACAGCCTCGGCAAGCCATGAGGGAGGTGTGGGAGTCAGCCAGCGCCTTTCCCCTTAGGAATCCTGTCCCAGCCAGCTCTGCCTGGCTGGCTGCGCTCCCCAGGGGCAGGGATGCCCTGTGTTGTTCGCACAAAATTCAGCAGGCTAAGGAAAGAGAAAGCAGAATTGCACGTGTGACATGGGAACATACCCACTTAAACTTTCAGTTAGGGATGTAGCGATGGTGAGTGGCACATAGGGAACGTGCTATTGATAGCCATCAAGTCATCAGATGCCAGGATTGCAGGCGAGTTCAGTCTCTGGCACCCCGAAGCAATCATCTGGGTCTCTGGAAGTGACAGGAGGTTCCTAGATGAAATGGTTGCTGGCTTCTTGCGAAGGCACTAGGAGATGCCACCTCTACATGCCATGCTGGCAGTGCCCTCAGTTCATCCCAGCTAGAGCTGCCCACAGGCTCAAAATTAATCCCAAAGCAAATTGAAGGGTTGGAAATTCACAACACCCCACAAATAACTCTCCCTCTACTCCATCCATGGCTTCATAGATGTCCCCACCCTGGTGAGACCCCAAGGAAGGCTTTGAATTTCTCTGCTAACCATCTTCTCTTTGCCTTGCAGCTGCCCCTTGTGTTCCTGAAGGTCAGTCTGAGAGATGGAGGGAGGCTCCTGGGCAGCGTGGGCTTGGGAAGGCAGCATGGCTGGGAGAGGAGAAGCATAACGCAGCCATGGGCTGCTTTATCATGGGGTGCTGGGGTTCCCAGAGTGCTGACGCCGTGTGTCCCTGTGTGCAGGATCCCAGCGGGAACCGCATCGCACAGTGGCGGGAGGTGAGCCCGCGGCAGGGCATCGTGGACCTGTCCCTCCCGCTGGCTGCAGAGCCAGCCCTGGGCACGTACACCATTGAGGTGGAGGGGAAGAGACACTCCTTCAGCGTGGAGGAATATGGTACGTGGGGACTGGGAGGTGCATGGAGGGTGGGAGCCCCACCTTGGCATGTCCCTGTGGGCAGCATGTTTGTGCCGCCCTGGCCACCCAGGCACCGTTATCCTTGTCCTGGGAGCGACAACCCTCTCTCCTTTTGCTTTGCCATCAGTGCTGCCCAAATTTGAGATGACCATTGATCTCCCTGCCGTGGTGCTGGAGAAGGACAAGAAGTTCCAGATGGAGATTTGTGGACGGTGAGCCCAAAACAGGCTGTGCCGGGAAGAGGGATGGGATGCGGGCATCTGACATGATGTGGCCCATCAGGCACACCTTCACCACCCTCCACCCAACAGGTACACCTACGGGAAGCCCGTCCAGGGGAAGGTCCAGGCCAGCTTGTGCCAGCCCTTCAGGAACATCGGGATCCTGCACAGACTTGACCAGAAAGAGATGAACTGCATCGAGGTTGGCGGGCAGGTGAGCACTGCCGGGGAGTGTGGGTGCCACTGGGACAGCCCCTTCCCGGGACTGCTGCTAACAGGGTTGACTCTGTCCCTCCAGACCAAGAAGAACGGCTGCTTTTCAACAGAGGTTTTGTTGAGTGCCTTCAACCTGACCAGCTCCATGTATAAGAAACGATTCCAAGTCCAGGCATCGCTGGTGGAGGATGGGACAGGTGGGGATGGCGGTGTTCTCCTGCTTGGGAATGGGCATTGCCACTGGTGCATAGTTTTGCATTCATACCTGTGTGCACCCAAATGCACATGGCATGGGGTCTCCTCCGGGGAAGCCCAAAAGCAATGCTGTGATTTAGAGGTGCACGTGTCTGGGGACCGGTTCCAGGTGGGGATATGAGCCAGGTCAGCCAGGCAGTACTTCTAATTCTGACCAGAGAAATGGTCAGGGGGCAAAAACAGCTTTCCAAGACCCAACAACTCTCCTGATGCTATGGCTAGCAGTGAGTTGAGTCCTTGCAACACAAAGCAGTGGTTTCACCCAGTCCAGTGGCATGGCTTTGTTCTTCGAGATAATCCACCTCACCCAACACCTCAGTCTCACCAGAAATGACTGCCAGTGGCTTGGCTTCAGAAAAAAAGGAGAAGACCAGGGGTTGTCCCAGGCCCACCGGCACTGAGGTGGCCCTGCATCATGGTGCTTTGGTGAAGTACCTTTTGTGAAGTTTCTGCAGCCAGCTGCACCTTGGCTTTAGGTCTAAAACATGCCGTAGAGGTTTTCCTCCTCTGTAGGAGGTGCGAACTGTGCTTGAAGCTGCCGGCTGCAGAGGGAAAACCTAAAACATCCAGGGACCTTTTCTGCACCATGACGGGGGATCTGGCAGCAGCTAACTCGTGCCCTGTGTCCCTACAACACCCTCAGCTCTCCGCTCCCTCTCCACAGGGCTGGAGCTGAAAAACACCAAGAGCTGCAAGATTTTACCTGAAATCCTCACCATCACCTTTGAAAACACTGATGATTTCTACAAGCCTGGCATCCCCTACACTGGGACGGTAATGCGGGGGTCCCCGCACCCCGCAGGGCTCCCCTGCACCCAATCCTGGTCCCACTGACCCCCGAACCCCGCTCTCCTACCCCTGCCCTCTGCCCCACGGCTGCAGCCCAACCTGGGGCATCTCCCCTTCCCTGCCAGTGCAGATGCTGCTGAAGGGAGCCGACGGCGCCGCGCTGCCGCAGAAGCAGCTCTTGCTCATCGTTAGCCAGCAAGGAAAAGATACGAGACAGACCTTCCTGACAGACAGATCGGGGAGAGCTTCCTTTGAGCTGGAGACCTCTGGTTGGAGTGACATGGTCTCCCTGCGTGTAAGCGACCCGTCTCCCACCCCTCGGGGGTCCCTGTGCTGCTTTCTCCAGCAGTATGGGGCTGGGCACCTCTCCAAGCCAAGAACCTGCATCAGTGGTGCCTGGTGATGGGACCAGCATCTCGTGGATTCTGGACAGCTTCACCACCTTGATTTCTACCTCCATCACTCAGGGTCAAGTCAACGAGGCAGCTCAAACCCAGAACGACAGCTCACCGCTCATCTACCAAAATGCCTATGCGTATGTCAGCCCCTTCTTTTCGGCGAGTAAGAGCTTCCTGAGGATTCGCCGGCTGGAGAGCGAGCTGCCCTGCGGTCAGCCCCAGCAGCTCTGGGTGGATTACATCTTCAGCAAGAAGGCCTTGGGGACCGAGCTGGAGAGCCTGGATGTGGTCTTCCTGGTGAGACCCGGCCCGGGGAGGGCGGGCAGCAGGCGCTAGGGAGGTTGTGTGCAAAGGTCCATATCTACACACATGTTCATGGTTGTGTCCCTGAGGACAAGACAATGAGCCATCTGTCCTGGCTAGACAGAGGGACCTATGCTACGCTGTTAGTAGAGGTGTCTGCTGGCACTGTTGGACCTGCATGCCAATGGGAGATGTTGGGGGGGCTGGAGACAGGGCAAGGTCAAAACCCATCCCAACTTTTGACCCTTGGGTCCATCTTCCATCAGGGCATTTCGGTTGCCCACTCAGCATTGGTTTTGTTGTTCCCATCTCCTCCTCTGTAGGTTCTGGCCAAGGGGACCATTGCCTCCATCCTCAGGAAAGAGCTGCCTGCAGAGGCTGGTAGGTCCTGAGGCACAGACAGGCTGTGCAGGGCTCTGCTTTCTGTTCCTGGTCCTCATCTCCCCTCCTTTCCCACGGCCCAGGGCTGAGAGGGTCCTTCTCCCTGGAGCTGCCTGTTGGCCCTGAGCTGGCGCCTGCAGCCAAGGTGCTGGGCTACGCGGTGCTGCCTGACAGCGAGATGGTGGCTGACAGCACCGAGCTCAAGGTGGCCAAGTGCTTCTCCAACAAGGTGAGCAGAGGCTGCTGGAGATGGGGGAATTGCTCCATGGCTTGTTCATAGCTGCATGCCCTGAGGTCCACCCTGCTCCAGATGTAGCACAGCATCACAGTCTCTTTAACCCATGCCCTGATCCCCAGACCCTTGAGCCTGATTTTATCGTTGTCTAGAAGAGACCTCCATGTATGTGGCTTGGTCTTGCTCCTCCATGGGAGGTGGCTCCCCCTCCTGTCCTTGCCCCCTCATGCCCCTGTCCCTCCCCAGGTGAAGATGGCTTTTTCGGAGGACAGGGCTCTGCCTGGCTCGGTGCTTCGGCTGGAGCTGGAGGCTGCCCCAGGGTCCCTGTGCGCCATCCGTGCCGTGGACCGCAGCGTGCTGCTCTTGAAGCCTGAGGCTGAGCTCAACACGGAGGCGGTTAGTGGTGGCACTGCCCAGGACCCCTTCTGCAGCCCCAGGGACCAGCCAGGGATGGGGGGGAAGAGACGACACTGGCGTGGGCCTCCCCTACGGGGACTCGGTGCCATAGTGGCTCCTGGGCAGTCCTGCTCCTGGGCAGGGGGTAGGTGCCTGGGTGGTTTTGTACCTAGCACACATGTTTATTCCCAGGTCTACAAAGTACTCCCTGAATTCGACTACCCTGGAAGCATTCAGGACCCGCCACCCTGTTCATCGTTTTCCTGGAACTATCCCCCGGACTTTGACATTCCCATCACCCCATTTGCACCGAGACGACGAGACTTCTTTCGCCCTCCAAGGAGGCATCTCTTACCTTTACCATTTTGGAGGACTTCCCAGATGAACACCTACAAGTTATTTCAGGTAAGGGCCCTGCCCACCTGTGCCTCCTCGTTCCTCTTCATCCAGGAGCCGGCTGTGGTTTGCTCAGGCTGCCAAGAAACCACAGAAACATCCCGTGAAAGCCACACTCGTGGCAAAGGTCTTTCCCTTTCCCACGGACGCCGGGCTCCAGTCCTTCTCCACTTGTCTTCTTCTGCAACCCTATGACTATTTGCTGCTGGGATGGGGATATTCCTCCTGCTGGGTTTTGGAGATGGACAACCTCTTTTCTTTTTCACAGAACGCAGCACTGAAACTTTTCACCAATGCCAAGACCAGTGATGTCTGCAAGGAGAGGTTCGGCTTCTATGGGATGGCGGGTCCCCAAGGTCCCAGAGGTCAGCAGAGCCCTTGGCTTTCTTGCTCCACTGAGCCCCCTCAGGAGAAAAGAGCAAAGAGCTGGTGCCCAGGCCTGGCTCCTGTGTCCTCAGGGGGACTTGGAGCCATCCTGAAATACACTCGGCATCAAAGGGATTGAAGAGGATTGAAAAGGATTTTGGCCACCTTTGGGCTGCCTGCAGGCGAGGTCCAGCTAAGATGCAGAGACCTGTGGACCCTAATTTCTGCTCTGCCTTTTCCAGATGTCTTTGATTCCGACATCCAGTATTTACCGAGAGAAACGAATGTCCCAGAACTAATGACCCATGCTGTCGCAAAACTAACAAACCATGTCGGTGCTGTCCAGGAAGAGCGACCAGCACCCCGGACATATTTCCCAGAGACGTGGCTGTGGGACCTGGTCCCCGTGGGGTAAGTGAGGACAGTCCCCATGGGGCTGGTCCTCTCCCCACGTCCCCTCCTGCATGGAGGGAGGTTGGGGACCTCAGGACAGCTCCTTCTTCCACAGGGAGGGAGCCAGCCCAGCTGGGGATGACACCAGCTGTGGGTGAACATGGTGGGATGGCCTCATGATGTTCTCCATCCCACAGGGAGTGGGGCTCTGCGGAGGTGACGGTGACGGTGCCCGATGCCATCACCGAGTGGGAAGCCGGGATGTTCTGCACAGCCCCGTTGGGCTTGGGGCTGGCTCCTGCCACCGCCCTCACGGCCTTCAAGCCCTTCTTCGTGGAGCTGGCACTGCCCTACGCCGTGGTCCGCCATGAGGCATTCACCCTCGTGGCCACCGTCTTCAACTACTTGCGGCAGTGCCTGCAGGTGAGCGGGGCTCGGGGGGGAGCCCTGGGTCTGGTGTCCGGCGGGGGCTGATGGAGCCGTGGCCATGGTCTGGCAGGTTCAGGTGACGCTGGCAGAGTCGGCGGAGCTGGAGGTGTCGGTGAGTGTGGACGGGGCGTACAGTGGTTGCATCTGCGCAGATGAAGCAAGGACCTTCCGATGGGCTGTGCGAGCCACCAGCCTGGGTACGGGACATGGGGGCCACAGCAGGACCCCCCCTGCCCTGCTGCTTGGGGACCCCCTCGGAGGATGGGGTGGGCAGGGAGGATGGGAACAAATGCAACGCCACCTGGGAAGCTCTCCTCCACTCCACTCTCACCCTCCCCCTTGCCTCCCAGCGCTGCTCCTCAACCTGGTGACCCCCATCCCAATCCAGCCAGCTCCACACAAAGGCCCAGGGCTGATGCAAGCCCATGGGGCTGCAGTGCGGGCTGGGGGGAGGCTCCATGGGGACTGAGTGCCCCACTTGCATCTGCAGGGGAGGTGAACATCACTGTCAGCACTGAGGCCCTCAGCTCCAAGGAGCTCTGCGGCAACGAGATGCCCGTGGTGCCAGCCCAGGGGCGCGTGGACACCGTGATAAAGCCCTTGCTGGTGCAGGTCAGACAGATTTTGGCAGAGGAAAGTGGGACGGGTTTGGGGACAGGGTCCGAGCAGCCCTCAGGGTGCAGCAGGAGGACTGGGAGTGGGACAGCACCCAGCCCCGAGCCCGGGCTGCAGGCATGACCCTAGGGAACATGGCTCGTCCCTTCTGATCGACTCTGATGCTGCTTCCCTACAGCCCGGGGGGATCCTGGTGGAGAAGGCGCACAACTCCCTGCTCTGCCAGGAAGGTAGGACCGGCCGGGGGTGTCCAGCAATGACGTGGGGAAGTGGAGTAGGGACGCTTGGCCACTGGTAGCAAGGGCCACCAGGCCCAGAGGAGCCAAGGACCAGGGTCCATAGACGCTCTTGGCTGAGATGCCCCAACCCAGCTTTGAGCCTACAGAGGGTCAGAGCCGGAAGGGGCCGGGCGAGGGTGCCAGGGGGCCGGGCGGGGAGGAGGTGAGCATCCCCACTGTCATTGCCCTCTGTCCCCACAGTCACTGAAGAAATCTCCCTGGAGGTTCCTGCAAACATCTTGGAGGGGTCCCAGCGAGCCCACATCACCGTGATGGGTAAGGGACAGGCGGGGGATGGGGGACCACCCGGGGCAGGGAGGGTGCGGAACTCCATGGCCCAAGCTCAGCAGGAGGTGAGACTGCCCAAATATGAGACGGGAGAGGATACGGGGTGCTGGTGGCAGGGGCCACAGCCAGTGACGGTGCTTCCCATGTCCCCCCGGGACAGGTGACATCATGGGGAATGCTCTGCAGAACCTGGACCGTCTCTTGGCCATGCCCTACGGCTGCGGGGAGCAGAACATGGTCCGCTTCGCCCCCAACATATACATCCAGCAGTACCTGGAGAAGAGCGGGCAGCTGCACCCCGACATCCGCGCCAAGGCGCAGGGCTTCCTGCAGAGCGGTGAGCGTCCCCGGTCCCCTCCTCTCCCTGTCCCACCCTGCCTTGGTGGCAAGAGACACCACCGCCCCTTATCCCCCCTCCCCGTTTTCTACCTACGCCCTGGGGTGGGTCTGGGCTCCAGGCTGCCTCTGGGGTCCCCTGGGGGTGTAAGGACCACTGTGCAAAAACTCGTCCCCATCTCCTCCCTGCAGGGTACCAGCGAGAGCTGCTCTACAAACACGATGACGGCTCCTACAGCGCCTTTGGGAAGAGCGATCCCGGGGGCAATACCTGGTGAGGGACTGCATGGGGCTCGGGCAGGCTGTGCAGCGGCATCCTGCCGGGGACCGGCCAACCTGGGGCTCTTCCTGCCACCAAGCGTACCTTAGCCACGGTCTCCCATCCCTCTGATGTCTCTCTGGCTCGTAGGCTGACAGCATTCGTCCTCAAGTCCTTTGGGCAAGCTAGAGCCTACGTGGCCATCGAGGAGCGGCACATCACGGATGCGCTGCGCTGGCTGCAGGAGAAGCAGCAGAAGACAGGCTGCTTCCGTAGCGTGGGGAAGCTTTTCAACAACGCCCTGCAGGTGGGTCGGTGGGGTGGGACATGGGGACATGCGGCCAGAGCTGGGTTGGCGCTGGCACATCCCTGGTGTGCGGTCTAGGCAGTGGGGGAGTCCCTGTGCCGGTGGCGTGGCATGGTTGGACCCATCTCCCGCTGTCCCCTTTGCAGGGTGGCGTCTCGGATGAGCTCTCTCTGTCGGCTTATGTCACGGCTGCGATGCTGGAGCTGGGGCTGTCCCCAACGGTGAGGATGACCCCATCTTCCCCAGAGGGGTTGGTGGGGTGGGGATGGGTGCTGGGGGAGGGAGTCTGGCTGTTCCAGGCCACCTCCTAGCCTGACCTGGGTGCCAGCTGGTCTCACTGGGCAGAACCGGGGTCTCTGAGTGATGCCCACACCCAGGGACTGGCTCCTGACTCCGTTCCCGTGCCAGGACCCAAAGGTGAGCTCAGCCCTGAAGTGCCTGGAGGCTTCGGCCACGGACGACCCCTACACGCAGGCGCTGCTCGCCTATGTCTTTGGGCTGGCGGGGCGCAGGGAGCAGCAGCAAACCCAGCTGCAGAGCCTGGCCCAGCACAGCGTCAGCGCAGGTACAACCCGGCACGGGCAGCGGCTCCTCCAGGCAGGGCCAGCCTCTGCCTGGGTCACCCCATCCCACCCCCGGTCCCCTGGGACCCCCAGAGCAGGGGTCTGAGCTCCCAAACTCCCTTCTCTCCCAGACGGGCAGCTCTACTGGCAGAGGAAGGGGAAGGCTCTGCCCCCCTCGCAGCCCTCCTGGGCGGCCGCCGCACCGGCGGAGGTGGAGATGACCGCCTATGTCCTCCTGGCCTACCTCTCCCAGCCCCAACTCTCCTCTGCTGACCTGGCGACTGCTTCCCAAATTGTCCGCTGGCTTAGCAAACAGCAAAACCCCTACGGGGGCTTTGCCTCCACACAGGTACTGGCACCAGGGTCCATGCGGCTGCTCGAAAGCATCCCCTCCCTCTATCTGCAGTCAGGGGTGACCCTGGCTCGGTGCTTTCTCCATGCCCAGGACACCGTGGTGGCCCTGCAAGCCCTGGCCAAGTATGCCGCCTTGACATACGGCAGCAACGGGGACTTCATGGTGACAGTGACGTCCCCGACAGGCACCACGCAGGACTTTGTGCTGCACAACAGCAACCGGCTGGTGCTGCAGCGGGCGGCTCTGCACGAGCTGCCGGGCACGTACAGGGTGCGAGCCCACGGGCAGGGCTGTGCCCTGGTGCAGGTGGGTACGGCCCAGGGTCCCCGTCCCCGTGCAGTGCCCGCTCGGTGGCTCTAACCCTCCTGCGTCACCCCAGGTGACCCTGCGCTATAACGTGCCACCCCCTCCGAGCATGGGGACGTTCGACCTCCGCGTGGAGACGGAGCCTGGGGAGTGCACAGGGGATGCCAGCGTCCGCTTCCGCCTCCTCCTCCGGGCACGGTAGGGGCTGGGGCTTCCCCCCGGCTTTGGGGGGAGCTGGAGCAGCCAAGGAGGGAGGACAGACCCCAACCCCACCCCGGGGCTCTGCCCTTGCAGGTACACTGGGGAGCGTCCTGCCACCAACATGGTCGTCATCGAGGCCAAGCTGCCATCTGGCTACATCCCAGACAAGAGCTCCGTGGTGGAGGTGAGGAGCCCCCGCCGCTCCCAGGACCCCCTCTGGGACACCCACCCTGCCACTGAGTCCCTGCCCCTCGGGGGCAGCGGGACATGGAGGGGCACCCACTCGGGGTGCTGGCCCTGGCTGGGGCACCCACGAGCAGCTGATGCCCATCCTGAGCCGTGTCCCTCCAGCTGAAGAGGCAGAAGCTGGTGAAGAAGGTGGAGGTGCAGCCCGACCAGGTGACGATTTACCTGGACCAGGTGAGATGGGGCATGGGGACAGGAGCAGCACCCCGCGCACTGGGGTGTGGGGATGCTTCCCCATCGTGGATGGTTGCACCTCACCCTTGGGCCATCTCCGCAGCTGACGAAGGAGGAGGAGAGCTTCGCCTTCACCGCCACACAGGACTTCCCGGTGAGGAACCTCCAGCCGGCCACTGTGACGCTCTACGATTACTATGAGACGGGTGAGCCCTGCCAGGGACGTGGCCCTGGGGTGCCTGGCCCCGCTGCCACCCCTTTGCAACCCCAATGGCTCAGACGGGGTCTGGCTGAGCTTTCAGTTCCCATTGATGAGCTTTGGCTCGTTAACGGGAGCAGCTCACCCTGAGTGCGCTGGTCACCATCCCTCCCGTTGCAGGTGACCGCACAGATGCTGCCTACAGCGCACCTTGCAGCGCAGGTACGGCTGAGCCCGACAGGGCTGAGGGGTCACCCCACCATCGCATTGGCACCCTGACGGGGACCCGCCGACCCTGAAGGGCCAACCTGGGCTGCGCTGAGCCCCTGGACTCAGGGGAAGGAAGGCAGCGAGTGGGGATGGAGGAGCCCAGCCTGGAGCCCTGGATTGATCGATGGGGACTTGCTGGCCAGAGCCTGGTGGGGCTAGAGGTCAGGGAGGACCCAGGTGTCCAGGGTGTGGGGTGCAGAGGAGCTGTGCCTCTTTGAGGGGGCTCAGACCCCCATCAGCCCTGGCCTTCCCTCCTGTGCACCTTACGGAGCTCCCCACCCATGGGTTTGGGGTCACAGAGGGGATCAGACACTGAGCTGGCAGGGATGGAGCTCAGCTGGAGGGACAGGGGCAGCCCAGGGTGGCCGCAGGGGCAGAGGGGCTCACAGCACCCCCCTATTTCATTTTGAAGGGGCTGACGGTCAGGAGCAGGAAAACTTCTAGCACAGCCTGAAGCCTGGCAGCTGCTCCCCTCCACTCGCCCCAACTCCCTCAGCCACCGAGGACCACGACGGCCGACCGTCTCTGCTCCCGCCCTGGCCACAGCCCCGACCCTCCACGGGGGCAGAACATGTTCCAGGGAAGCTCACAGCACCACTGGCACCCAGCACGGCACGGCTTGCTCTGGACTCAGCCACTTCTCCCTGTAGCGCAGCTCCCACCCCACCACGACACAACACAGCCACAGCCGAGGGGCTGACGCAGACCCACGGGCAGACGTCTTGCTGCTCTGCAAGCCTCTGCCACCGATACTTGACTTTGACTTTGGTTGAGCAGCCAAGCGGTGGCTTTACAGGGACACCAGATCTGGCCTCTCCACTCCCCGCGGCACCTGAATGGGACCAAGACCTCCTCCCTCCTGCCAGCCCAACTGTCCCTTCCCCAGCAGGTCCCCACTGCCACTCACCCCGCCGTGCTCTCCCTGGGAGTCACGGTGCTACCCCAGCACTAACGTGGTGCCACTGTCACCAAGAGGGACCCGGGGACACCTCCGCAATCCGGTCAAAACAGATTCAGGCACTCGTCGACAGAGAGAAGCCGCAGTCCCCCCAGCCCCTGCCCTGGGTCTAAATAAATACATTTGCTCAAGTGCGTGTTTTCTCTTGGTCTTTCTTTTCTTAACCTTGCAGGGTCCCGCAGCAGGAGGGGGAGGGACGGAGGGCTGTGGGGATGGGGTGGCTGCTGCGGTCGGGGCAGGGAGGGTGGATGTCAGGCACGCCAGCTGCTGTTCAGCTGCTTTGCCAGAGATAAAACGAGGCGGGCCGAGGCGGTGGGCTCCCCGAGGCGGTAGCAGAGGTGCGCAGACCCCATCCACGCTACGCTCCTCTCTACCAACCAGTGCATGAAGGGAGAGGGCAGCTCGCAGTGCAGGCCCCTCACCTCATCAAGACGCAGGCCACATCCTGGGGCATCCTCAGACCAGGGTTTTATTCTGCTGTAACCGAGGAGCCGCTCTGTGCAGACCACAGACACCCGCCTGCCTCAGGGCTCAGCACCCACCGTCCTGCGACTTCGGTGACAAATATGGCCCAGGGAGGCGTCCCCCTGAGCCACAACCTCTGGGGACAGCTGGCGTGGATGCTCATGCCACCTCCGCAGTGCAACAGTCTCCCACAAGAGCCGGCAACAGTGAGAGACCTGGAGATGCAGCCACACAGTGAGCACGAGAAGGGGGTCAATGCTACAGCACTGAGGCCAAATAAACCCTCCCTGCCCCACCAGGGGACAGGAGGCAACGTCACATCAAGGCACTAAGAGCAACGTGTGGCTAAGTCACAGCCCTGTCCCCACAATGAGGGAGAGTGGCAGGGCGAGCCGGCTGCTCCCAAGGCCGGGGGGGGAGGACAGGAGCCAGTCGTGCCCCAGGCCGAGTCCCTCGCCGAGGCCGGAGCTGGTCCCACATCACTTATGGCGTTTTTTCTTCTGTTCTTTGCGCTTCTGAGCCCTCACGTCCTTCTTCAGGCGGCTGTCAACGACCTTGAACTGGCCCTTGACACCAGGAGGACGGCGCACCCGGCGTCCTACGCCTTTCTTAGCCACCAAGTAGGTGACCTGCCGCTTCTCCTTGGCCAGCCCAGCCTTCTTGTAGATGCTGCAGGAGAACGGCAAAAGATGAGACCGAGACCCCAGCACCCCGGCCCAGCTCCAGCAGTTTGGCTTTGGGATGCATCCAAAGACCAATACTGGGTCCCACCGCTCCTCTGGGGCTCTGTGCCCCAAGATGGGGCTCCCTTGCTTGCTCTCCAACCCCTCAGCCTACACCCGGGTCGAGCCCAGCCCTCTCCAGCCCTGCTGGGTGACGTGCAGGAGCTGTCCCCGCAATCGAGCCCAGCACGACACGAAAAGATCTGGATCCCAGCTTCACCACTCACCGCCGCAGCTGGGCCACCTTCTCCCTCTCCGAGATATCCACCGTGCTCACCACGGCCTCTGCTTTCTTCTTCATCTGCTCCATCTTCTTCAGCATCTGTGGGGACAGCGAGGGTGAGGGACAAGGGGGATCAGAGGAGGGACAGAGCACCTGGGAGGGGGAACAGAGCACCCGTCCAGGGCCACAGCCCCACTCACCCGCCGCTTCTTGCGGGCCTTGGCTTCCGCCACCTTCTTGATGGGGCGGGCGTTGATTTCACGCCAGCGCTGCCGATACGCCTCAACCGTCTGCCGGTCCACGGGAATCTGCTTGCGCCGGTGCTGCTTCTCCTCCTCTGTGAACCACTCCGGCAGCTCTCCCTCATCCTCATTGAAGGAATACCTGCGGGGGGAGAGACTCGGGTGAGCTGTGAGCAGGACACGGGGTCCCCACACCCACACATCTGCCACCCCTGTGGACTGTCTCCTGTTGGGAGACCAAACGCTGCTCCCCCTCCAGCAACCACAGCTGCATGTACCTGTTGAAGGAGTCATCAATCAGGTCCCGCCTGGCCTTTTTGGAGGTGGCGATGACGGAGCCGAGCGCCAGGCCCTCTGCGTCCAGGACACGGGCTCTTTTCACTGCAGCATATGGAGAGATTAGAGCTTGGCCTAATCTGCAAGCAGCCCTGCCAGTGCAGAAAAGCACGGTCCGACCCTGACTACTGTCCATAACGAGGGACACCGGGTATCATCGGATGCACGTGGGTCGAGACAGCACCTCCCACTCACCTGGGTTCTCAATGGGCACCACCTCGAAGCCACATGGCTCGACACGGCCCCGCTTCCTCCCCGCGGGTATCAGTGGCCTGCGGAGAGGAGAGCGGTCAGGGCTGGGGTCCTCACCTCCTCGCTCTCCAGGAGTGTGGAGCTGGGGGAGAACATCCAGACCGCCCCCATCTCAGCCCTCACCTCTCCTCATCGCTGCTGCTGTCATCATCACTGCTCTGCTCATCTTGCGCTTTACCAGCATCGGGCCCCGTGTCTGCAACAGGCGGGGGCTCAGCTGCAGCTTCCTCCTGGGGGGCCAGCGCCTTCTGCCCTTTCCTTGTCGCTTTGTCTGGGGAAGAGGAACCACTGGCTGAGAAAGGGTTGAGGCAGACCCCGTTGCAGATCATTCCTTTAGAGACCCAGCTCGTTAATGCTACGCTAATGCCAGCTCGTTATTTGTGTAATGATACAGGCTGGAAGCAACCTCAAGCTCTCCAGTCCTGCTGAGAGCAGTGTCCACATGGTGGCTTGATCCAGTGCCCCAGACCGGGCCGCAGGGCTGTCCCTCTGTGCCCCCTGCCAGCGACACAGCCCCCCACGAACCTCTCTGAGACTCGCGCTGCCTCTCAGCCAACATCTGCGACTGCCCCAGCTCCAGGTCCTCATCCGCATCATCCTCGATGCCGGCAAAGGCATCCTGGGGGTGGGGAGCAGAAGGTCAGGGGACGCAGGGCAGACCTGGGGAGCTGCTGGGGCTGAGGCTCTCTGTCATTTCTGCCCCAGTAGGACTCACCTTCCCAAACCACAGGCTGGTCTGCCGTTCTTCCAGCACCGACTTCTCCTCCAGGGGTACCAGCAGGGGATTCTCCTCTTCCTCCCCTTCCTCCTCCTCTTCCTTCTGCTTAAACTTCACCCTGTGACAGACAGCAGCAGGACCAGTACTCCCCACCCATGATGGGGTGTGCCCACTGCCAGATACTGGAGCTGCTCCAAAGGAAGCCCCTGCCCCGGGGAGGACTCTCCTGGCCCTCACCTTTTTGCACCCTGCTCTCGCCTTTCCCGCTCCAGCCGGCGCTGACGGGCCTCTATCTCAAGCAGCTCCTCTGGGTCCAGATCGCTGGCCAGAGACACATCATCCTCTTCCTCATGATCTGAGATGCAAATGTCATCGTCCCCTGGTCCTATCTCCAGGAGGGCATCTGCTGACGCCATGTCCCCCCGGGTCACCTCGTTCAGCAGCTGCAACACAAATGAGACTGGAGTCATAAGCTACAGCGCGTCAGCCACGTGCCTGCCACTGCCCCGGCCCCGATGGCTCTGGGAGCCTGGCCTCCCCCTGCCCCACGCACCGGAGTCCTCTGGATAGTCCGGAGGGAGAACATGCTGGTGTCACCATCATCGGCGATGGAGACACCAGGGAGGTCCATCTTCAGCTCCACGCGCTCACGCTGCTTCCGCTGTTCCTTCAGGATCTTCTTTTTCTTTCTAGCGAAGAAGGCAAAGGAATGAGGCCACACTGTCTCCCTCCCCACACACACACATCCCAGTGGCTCATCCACTGCCACATCGGTGCCAGATCTCCCCCAGGACAGGGGGAGAGCAGCACTGCCATCCCTCTGTGAGGGGTCCCCAACCCTGGGGCAGAGGGGGCCCACGCCAGCTTGGAACTGCCGCTTCACCTGCCCGGAGCAGCAGACAACCCCGAGGACCCCAGACCCACAAACCCCACCTGCTGTCGACAGAGGGACAGGCTCTGACCCAGCCACCCTCTGTCCCCATCGCTACAGCCCCCCTGTGCTCTGCTGGCCCTGTACTCCCCCATCTCTCCTCATCTGAGCGCTTTTTACCTCTTTAACTCTGCCAGCTCCTCGGCCTTCATCTCTGCCAATGCCAGCTCCACCTCCTCCTC